GCACCGTCGGCGACAAGGCAGGCCATGCTGAGAGGAAAAAACGGAAAGTTTGTATTGATTTTTTACAGTCAGGATGGGCGGCCCCGGATTGACGGCCGCGCGCGATGTGCGCCGCGTCCCATATTTGCAAGTCCCGGGCCAGCCAAGCGGGCCAGAGGCGTGCTAAGATCTCCGGTAACTAGTTAACAATCTTCTAGTTTGCGCGCGCGGGGCGGCCCCTGGGGGCCCCCAGACGAAAGAACCCCCGAGCAGGTCCTGGGCACGTCGGTTCCAGCGATGGTTTTCTTCTTCGGCGCTGACTTCCAGGTCCCAGGGCGCCCCAGGAACGCCCCAAGAGAGCCGAGACGCCCCCGAGACGATCCGAGGGGCCCTGAGTCGCCGAAAGATCGTTCCAAGACGCCCAAGATGGCCTCCAGACGGCCGTAGCGCCAAGAAACCGGGGGGAGCCTCAGAAGCCTTCCAAGAGCCTGAACAAGCAAAAACCTCCCAGGCATTCGTCACCCCAGGGCCTCCTGGAACGCCCCGGCGCCCAATGAATCGGCGAGCTAAAAACGCGCGCCGAGCCAAAGCGGGAGCGCAACTTTGAGAAAAATTCGCTCGGCGTCCAAGCGGGAAGGTTATTTCATTCACTTCGAGCGGGGGGGGGGGCCGCGCCCAATTCTTGCCATGCACTTTTACGGGGTGGGCGACAAGAACAGCTATGTGGGCAGGGAAAATCAGCATGGCATTGCTTCTGACAAATAAGGTGGCCCCTCCCGCCTTGGGGTTGCCCCAAAAGTCCGCGCGCGATGTGCGCCGCGCCCCACTCCTGCCACGCACTTCGCATCGTCGACGACAAGACAAGCCATGATGAAAGGAAAAAGGCAACTCTGTATTGTTTTTGACAGTCAGGATGGGAGGGCCCGCAGCCCGCATGGACGTCCGCGCGCGATGTGCGCCGCGTCCCATTCCTGCAACATATTTCGCACCGTCGGCGACAAGGCAGGCCATGCTGAGAGGAAAAAACGGAAAGTTTGTATTGATTTTTTACAGTCAGGATGGGCGGCCCCGGATTGACGGCCGCGCGCGATGTGCGCCGCGTCCCATATGTGCGCCGCGTCCCAGGGCTGCCACATATTTCGCACCGTCGGCGACAAGGCAGGCCATGCTGAGAGGTAAAAACGAAGACTTCGCATTGATTTTTAACCGTCAGGATGGGCGGGCCCAGATCGACTGCCGCGCGCGATGCGCGCCGCGTCCCATTCCTGCCACGTTTTTCACATCGTCGACGACAAGAAAGACGACGTTGAAAAGAAAAACTGCCACTTTGGATTGATTTTTTACAATCCTGATGGGAGGTCCCGGATCGGGTTGCTATCGGCCGGAATACGAGGTAGGTGGGGGTATATATTAATAAAAAACAAGGATGTGGGCGTGAATGTGTGTGTGCGTACGTGCGTACGTGCGTGCGTCTGTGTGTCTCTGTGTGCGCGCGCGTGCGTGCGTGAGTGCGCACCGAGGCGGGGCGACGCCCATGGGGTGGTTGCGCGCCGACCTCTGGGACCAGCTGGCCCCTTACTGCAGGGCCGCCTGGCTGAGGGCCCGCTGGGTCAAGGGCCACTTGGACGAGGAGGAGGCGCGGGGGAGAGGGGGCTCTCCCCCGAGGGCCACGCTGGCAACGCGGCGGCCGACAGGCTAGCTGGCGCGGCCGCGCGCCTGCCCGCCCTAGCCCGGCTGCGCGCGAGCGGCAGCTGCAGGCGCCGGAAGGCGCACAGCGGTCTCTGGCAGCGGTGGAGCTGGCGGCCCTCAGGGCCAACCACGACTGCACCGCGCCAGGCGGGCCCCAGGTGCGGCGCCGATGGACAGCCGTCCGGCGCACGGCAGGCCAGTGACGCGCGGCGGACGCCGGCGGCGGGCCGCAGCTGCAGGCGCCGCCAGTAGCGCAGCAGGCCCCGCAGCCTCTGCGGCACCCACTGCCGCAGGCCACGGCGGCGGCCGCCCAGGCGCTCTACGGCGGGTGATCCTAGAGGGCACACGCCGCCTCGCAGGGGCCGGCCTGCCTGCAATGCGGCTGCACGGCGCCGCGGTGGGGGGCCCCGGCTGCTCGCCCATGCGATGGCTGGGCTCCCGCCTTGCCGCCGCGCGTGGGCGCGCTGCTCCTGCTGCCGCCTGCGCGGGTCGGAAGCGACGAGGGCGCTTGGCGGGCGGCTTTGCCGGCCCGCCTGGCCGCGCGCGCAGATGCGCCTGAGGCGCCGAGCTGATTTGGCACGGCGACTGGCCCCCTCTCCTCCCTCCCTCTTGCCCCCCTGCCTGCTTTCCTCGCCACAAGGCCGCTTTTGCGTTTGTAAAAAAAGGCGCGCGTGCGCGGGCGCGGGCGCGTGCGTGTGCGAGCGCGAGCGCGTGCGCGTGTGCGTGTGCGTGCGCGTGCGCGTGCGCGTTTGCATGTGCGTGTGCGTGTGTGCGTGCGCGTGTGCGCGTGCGCGTGCGTGTGCGCGTGCGTGTGTGCGTGCGCGTGCGTGTGCGTGTGCGTGTGTGCACGGGCGTGGGCGTGGGCGTGGGCGTGGGCGTGGGCGTGGGCGTGGGCGTGGGCGTGGGCGTGTGCGTGGGCGTGTGCGTGTGCGTGTGCGTGTGCGTGTGCGTGTGCGTGTGCGTGTGCGTGTGCGTATGTGCGTATGTGTGTGTGTGCGTGTGCGCGGGCGCGGGCGCGGGCGCGGGCGCGGGCGCGGGCGCGTGTGCGTGTGCGTGTGCGTGCGCGTGCGCGTGCGCGTGCGCGTGCGCGTGCGCGTGCGCGTGTGCGTGCGCGTGCGCGCGTGCGTGCGCGTGTGCGTCTGCGTGCGCGTGTGCGTGTGCGTGTGCGCGTGCGTGTGCGTGTGCGTGGCGTGCGCGTGTGCGTGTGTGTGTGCGTGTGCGTGCGTGCGTGCGTGTGCGTGTGCGCGTGCGCGTGTGCGTGCGTGCGTGCGTGTGCGTGGGCGTGTTCGTGTGCGCGTGCGCGTGGGCGTGGGCGTGGGCGTGGGCGTGGGCGTGGGCGTGGGCGTGGGCGTGGGCGTGGGCGTGGGCTCGTGCGTGTGCGTGTGCGTGTGCGTGCGCGTGTGCGTGCGCGTGCGAGTGTGCGTGTGCGTGTGCGTGTGCGTGTGCGTGTGCGTGTGTGCGTGTGCGCATGCGCGTGTGCGCAGTCGTGTGCGCGTGCGCGTGCGTGTGCGTCTGCGTCTGCGTGCGCGCGTGCGTATGCGCGTGCGTACGCGCGTGCGTGTGCGTGCGCGTGTGCGTTTGCGCGTGGGTGTGAGTGCGCGTGCGCGTGCGCGTGCGCGTATGTTTCTGTGGGTGTGTTATGTGTCTGTTTGTGGTTTGTGCGTGTGTGTCTCTGTGTCTGTGCGTCTGGGTGGTTGTGCCTGTGTGTGCCTGTGCCTGTGTCTGTGTCTGTGTGTGTCTGTGTGCGCGTGCGCTTGTGTGCGTATATGTGCGTGCGTGTGCGCGTGTGCTTGTGCGCGCGTGCGTGTGCGCGTGTGCGCGCGCGTGCGCGTGCGTGTGCGTGCGTGACCGCGCGTGCCTGTGCGGGGTGTGTTTTTGCACGCAGGCGGGAGCTTTCCCTCCCGTGGTTTGGCAGCATGACGCAACGCAACACGAAAACATAAGTGTGACGACGGCGGGCCCTGCGACGCACAAGACCAAGAAAGGGGAGCGTCCAAAACTTGCCGGGACCGTCCAGCCAATGAGACAGAAGCTCAAAAGAGGTAGCCCCCTGCGGGGGGGGGGGGTACGCATATCTATATGTATATATATATATGTATATATATATATACACATACACACAACACTGCATCAGCGCTGCGCGCCATGCACTTTGGTCCTTTAGAGTTTCGCACGTTAGCGGAATGCGTGCGTGCATACATGCACACACACATGCGCCTACGGAAAAAAAGACTACACTTGTACATGGCAATATACGTATGTATGGGTATGTACATGTATATGCAGATGGTCTGTCTAATTGTGTGCGCATACACATGCGTATCTCAGGCGGTAGTGGCCTGACCAGCTGTTCCGGGCATTTCGCAACTCAACGTGCGAGGGTCTCAAGCGAGAATGGCCAGACTACCATGGTCCTTCAAGTTGAGCAAGCAAGCGGGAAGACAGATATGTACGTAGTTAAAGAAAGCGATAACGGGAGTCTTCTGGGGGCCCTTGTGGATCCCTTTGAGGGCTCTGTTGGGGTTCTCTTGGGTCGTGTCGGGGCCTTTTTGTGACGTCTTGGGGCGTTTTGGAGGCCTTTGGCCGTCGTGGGTCTCTCCTGGCGGCGTCTTGGGGCCCTCTTGGGTGCCTCTTTGGGCGCTCTTGGGGCTCTCTTGGGCCCGTCTTGGAGCCCTCTTGGGCTGTCTTGGGACTCTCTTGGATCGTTGTCGGGCTCTTTGGGGGGCCTCTTGGGCTATCTTGGGGCGATATTTGGAGCCTCTTGGGCCAGTTCGGGCTGATGTTGGCCCGAAAAAGGGATAACCAGAAAAACCTCTAAAAACCATACAAAAATCAATAACAAATCCCTCTTGGGGCCCTCTTGGGAAGCCTCTAGGAGGCCTCTTGGGGCGTCTCGGGGTCCCCTTGGACGGTCTTGGGCGGTCTTGGGGTCTCTTGGAGCGCTCTTGGGCTGTCTTGGAGCGCTCGTGGACCCCTCTTGGGAGTACCTCGGGCCGTCTGGGGCGCCTCTGGGACCGCCCGAAAATCTCGGGGAATGCCGAAACTCGTTGGGGGGGGGGGGGCTCCGTTCGGGGTCCGTCCTGGGTCCCCGGCCTTATAAAAGTTTATAAATCGGAATAGATGTGTGTATGTGTACATCACGAAGACAGAGAGGGAGAGGGAGAGAGAGAGAGAGCAAGCCCTTACAGAGACTCTGTTTAGGGGATAGCGCCACAAAAAAAACTCGGTCATCGACCCGTCCTCTTCTTCCTCTTCTTCCCAAGCGAGGGCACGACGACGGCGGCGGCGGCGACGACAACTCGGTAAAACAGGCGGGGTGCGAGCAGAGTCGCCAAGCACAGCGCCGCGAACTCTACGCTTCCAGGCTCGCTAGCCTCGCGGGCCGCCGCCATCGTGATCGCTGCTGGCGTTGCCGCCGCCGTCGCCGCAGTCGTGGTCGTTGTGGCCACCGTCATCCTTAATCGCCGTTGTCGTCGACGTCGTCGTCGCCGCCGTGGTCGTCGTCGCCATTGTCGTGGTCGTCGTCGTCCCAGCTGCCGTCGTCGTCGCCATCACGGTCGTCATCGTCGTGGTCGTCGTTGTTGTCGCCGTCGAGGAAGAGGAGGAGGAGGAGGAAGAGGAGGAGAAGGGGCGGATTGAAGGACAGAGAGAGGGGGGAGGGAGGAGCAGGGGAGGAGCAAGACAGGAGCAAGGGAGGAATGGACGAGAGGGAGGAGGGAGGAGGGAGGGAAGGAGGAAGGGTGGGAGGGAGGCTCCGAGACTGCCTGCTCTGTTTTGTCTCGAGACCCGCAGCGGTGCTCGAGGACTCCCGCGCTGGCCGCCAGGGGAGGTGCGCCTCCGGCAGTGATCCTGGCCACTGCGCGTCCAGAGGAATTCTTCCATCCTGCGGTAGGTCGGGCACGTCCCCCTGCAGTCGGACCTTGGACGAACAATAAGAAACAATGGCCAACCATAGACTCCAAAATGATCCAGCAAACAGTAGTCGAAGATCGTCCCCAGACTATGTCTTGACTATGTTTGGATACTCCTCCTGCAGAGGGACACGCCCGACTGAAATCCTGCGGTGGCGCTCGTGTGCGCACACGAGCGCCACCGCCAGACCAGCCCAACCAGACCACCCCGACACAACCCGAAGACCCGAATCTGACACGAATTTCGGGTTGGGGCAGGGGGGTACGGGTTCCATGTGTTTTTGTCAGTGTTCCCCGACCCCCCCCCACTGGAAATGGAGGGCAAATTGAGGCCTTCGGGTTGGGTTGGGGTGGTTTGACTCGGCGGTGGACAGACCTCCCTTTCGCAAACCTCCCCTACCCTAGTGAAAACGGCCTGGGACCGAAACCGACGGAACTGGACCCGCAAAAATGACGGCCGCGACGCCCCCTCGCGAACCGAACACGGCCAATTCCTTACTCGACGCGTCCGGGCAGGAGGCCTGCCCACCCCCGACACAAGAGGGCAGGGGGAGGAGGATGAGGAGGAGGAGGAGGACGAGGACGAGGATGAGGAGGAGGGGGAGGAGGAGGAGGAGGAGGAGGAGAAGGAGGAGGAGGAGGAGGAGGAGGCCGCGGAGGCCGTGCGGAGGCCGCGGGCCGCCCGCTGGCGGCAGCCCCCCCCCCCTCCCGCCCGCCTGCGGCCGCCCCCTCTGCCCGCTGCCCCGGGGCCCTCCCCGCCTGCGCGGCCTGCGCCGCCCGCGCTCGTGCACCGCACGAGGCCCGTGCGGGGCGGCCGCCGGCGAGCCCCGCCCCGCCCCCCCATCCGAATCGGGGGCGGGTGGCATCTCCTCGGGCCCCGCCGCTCCAGGGCTCCCGGCCTGCTCCCCCGCTGCTCGCTGCTCCTCCTCTCCCCGCTCGCCTCCGTCTGCCCGCCGCCTTCCCCTTCCCCCCCCCCCCCTGCATGGTGGCACAGTCCGCTTCAACTTCGGGGAACGAAGAATGGCATAAACATGTAAAAACTCTGAGGTCCGCGCGGATTTCTTGGATCCGCGTTGGATCCCCCTCCCTGGCGCGCGGAGCGCGCCAAGGGCGGCGCCGGAGGCGCCGCCAGTGGGGTCTAGCGCGGATGCGAGCCGTCCGCGCGGACCTCCGAGTTGTTATATGTTTATGTAGTTATTCGTTCCCCTAGCTTCGCACAGGGGCCAATCTTACCTCGAAGAGGTATTCCGCGACATGTGCATCTTGCCGTTGCAGTGCCTGTTCACACGGGAGACTGCTCCTGATGACCGCCAGACTATTTTGATCACATCGAGCATGCAACTTGTTCCTTGGCTGGCTGTGGGGGCTGGAAAAAGCCTTGGTGAGGCACTTGCCTTTCCCTTGAAGGCTCGCCCGATGGCACACGATTATCATTATTATTATTATTAGTAGTAGTAGTACTAGTATTGTCAGCACAGCGGCGGCGGTTGGGTCTACCAGCCATGGGCCATGGCGGCAGCTCGGGGGCGGACGACGCTAACACGAGAGAGGGCTACGTGCCGCCCTCTGCAAGGCACCCTGTGCTGCGAGCGTCTGGCAGCGCGGTCGCCCCGATGGAGCACTGCCAACACACACACACACACACACACACACACGCGCGCGCGCACGCACGCACACAAACACACGCACACACACACACGAACACACACACACACACACACGAACACAGACACACACACACACACACGCACACGCACACGCACACACACACAAACAACTCGCGGAAACGAGGTAGGATGATGCGCCCTCCCAAAGCGGAACGAGCAAGGGTGTGCCAGGATTCCAAGGATACCCTGATCATTCCCCAACCTTGCGTCGCCGCCCTGGGAACATGTGCAACGCGAAAGCCACTGATGCACTCGCCCGCAAGGATATCCTCGGGCAAGGCGAACCGGAAACGCACCAAGGATGGCCGTTCTGAACGCCGGTTTTGACGGTATTCATTATCCTGATCATGCCTCACTACCTCTCCATGTCCCTCCTCGTCGTCATCGGCCTCCCTCATCCTGATATCCTTCTCCTCGTGCCCCTTCCCAGACTCCGCTTCTCCCTCAGCACCCCTATGATCCTACACATTTCCCCTCATCCTCAACAGCATCACCATCATCATCTTCATCATCATCAGCATCATCATCACCACAAGCATCATCATCCTCATCAGCATCATCACAAGAATCAGCATCTGCATCATTATCATCCTCATCATCATCATCAGCATCATCATCATCAACAACATCGTAAGAATCAACACCCTCATCATCATCATCATCATCATCACCATCATCATCACCAGCAGCATCAGCATCATCATCACCATCATCATCATTGTTATCATCGTCATCATCAACACCATCAACATCATCCTCGTCATCAGCATCGTCATTGTCATCATCACCATCATCACCATCATCATCATCATCAGTATCATCATCAGCGTCATCATCAGCATCGTCATCATCATCCTCACTATCAAGATCATCATAATGATCAGCATCATCTTCTCCATCATCAATATCATCAGCATCGCCATCATCAGCATAACTATAATCAGCATCGTCATCATCATCATCAACATCATTATGATCACCATCATCGCAACCACCCCGAAACCATCATCATCGTCATCATCAAAATCACCATCGTCGTCATCGCCTGCATCATCACCATGGTCATCATCGTCATCATCATCGTCATCATCAGCAACATCATCAGCATCAGCATCCTCCTAAGTGTCATCAGCATCAGCAGCATCATCGTCATCAGCATTAACATCCGCATCATCATCATCATCATCATCATCATCATCATCATCATCGTCATCATCACCAGCATCATCAGCATGATCCCCATGGCCATGCCGTCATCAGCAGCATCATCATCAACAGCATCATCAGAATCAGTATCATCATCAGCACTAGCATCATCATCACCATCATCGACAGCGTCATCATCATCATCATCATCATCATCATCATCATCGTCGTCATCAGTATCGTTATCATGGTCCTCATCATCGGTATCATCGTCATCATCTCCACCATCATAGTCATCACCATTATCAGCATCATCAGCATCATCATCAGCGTCATCATCAGCATCAGCATCATCATAAGCATCAGCATCATCATCATCCTTATCATCGGTATCATCGCCATCATCGCCCTCATCAGCATCATAATCATTATATGCATCATCATCGTCGTCATCAAGTTCATCAGCATCATCACCAGAATCATCATATGCAGCAGCGGTACTCTCTTCTCACGTGCATCCTCCTCCGCCGCCTCGTCCTTCCATCCTCTTCCTTCTAACCTTCCCTATTCCTCCTGCTCCGCCTGCTGCTCCTTATCCGGCTCCTGCTCCGCCCCCTCCTCCTTGACATCCTCTTCATCCCCATGATGAAAATCATCAGCATCATCATGATCATCACCACCACCATCATCATCAGCAGCAGCACCAGCAGCCACAACAACATCATCATCATCATCACCATCATCATCAGCATCATCATCATCATCATCAGCATCAGCATCATCATCATCATCATCATCATCATCATCATCATCATCATCATCAGCATCATCCTCATCCTCATCCTCATCCTCATCCTCATCATCATCATCATCATCATCATCATCATCATCATCATCATCATCATCATCTTCCTCATTGATATCCTCGTTGTTTCCCGCATCATCCTCTTAGTCGACCCGCCCATCATGTCAAATGATTCCGCATCCTGCTGAACCCTTCTCCTCAACTACCTCACATGCTATTCCGTTCATCCGTTCCCTCTTCCTCCACGTCCCCTCCTCCTCTTCTCATCCTCCTCACCTACCCCTCCTCCTCGGCCCCTCCTCCCCCTGATCCCATGTTCATCACTGGTGTTCTCCCTCCCCTTCCCTCTTACTCCTCCTACTCCGCCTCCCCATCGTCCCACTCCTCCTCATCCTCCTCCTCCTCGTCCTCCTCCTCCTCCTCCTCCTCGCTCAAGTCCTGATCACACCGCTGGAGCTGCAGGACGACAGCACTGGCGCTGGGGCTCGAGCAGGCCCCCCGCGGCCGTTTCGGCACCACGATCACGAAGTCTGCTTTCGCCCTTGTGCGCTCGCCTCGCCTGGTCCGCCCCAGTCGCAATTAGCCACGCGGAGTGATGGCGTTCCTGTGTGCAGCCCTACGGGGTGCGGCCCCAACGTCGTCGCGTAGCGCTTGCCGCCGCGCCAGAGCTCGCGCAACCCATGCGCGCAAGCTCCAGGAGGCCAACGGCCGACTGGCTGGCCTTCTTGCGGCAGGCCCCCCGCCTGGACTCGTGACGCAGCTGCCCATCGCGTCGGGCATGCTATACCACGAACTCGAGGAGACGTTCTGGACGCAAACTGTCATGCTGGTCTCCGACATGGAGGCCAACGAGCTGGTCACCTACGGCGAGGGCCTCACGAACGAGCTGCTGCGGATCCTTTCGCCACAGCGCGTGGCAGACACGGAGCAGTATGCCGCCGCCGTGCCTGGAGTCATCGATGTCTCGGACGCCAAGCATATCGAGAAGGCCGTGGCCGAGAAGCCGCACGACGGCTTCGACATCCAGGCTGTGGACCCAGAGCATCCCAAGGGCATGGAGCCCTTCGATGTGGAGGGAGACGACGGCGACGACATCAAGAAGTCTGCGGACGAGCAGGTGGTGCAGTTCGCCGCGGAGCGGGCTGCGGAGCCGCCCAACCAGGAGGCGATTGAGGCGTCGGAATATATGCAGATCGAGCAGGCTGTGCTGGAGAAGCTGCACGACGGCGTCAGCAGCCAGGCGGAGGTCCAGGAGCAATTCCTGGGCACGGGGCCTTTTCGATGAGGCGGCCCCCCACGACGACGCCATAGAGGTCAATTCCGAGGTGGTCCAGGAGCAATTCGACACCACTAGCTGGAAGTACCGCGCTGGAGAAAACTGGCTGTCCTTCGGCAATCAGAGCGCGGAGATAGAGAGAGCATGTGTACAGTCCGTTGAAGGAGAAGGCGATCGACATTACACCATGAATATTAGTAGTTGCACGCCTGTCCGACTAGACCTTGTCTTTTTCTGTATGGAGCCACACTATAAAAGCACGTGCAATAGCTTCAGTTACAAGCTATGGAGGCCGCGAGTAGCGTTGCCCGCATTCACTGAAGTCTGAGATATGTATTGCATGCAGCTGCTATAAGATCAGAGAATGGGTTCCTTGTGTTCAGTGCTCGCTGCATACTGTGTCTGTGCATGTCTGCTGTATCTTGTTTCGCAGGTGACAGGCATGTCGTCGGTAACCTTCCTTGAAAGGGAACGGATTGTTGTGCCGCCAGCAGGTCGACGAGCCAGGCATACCCCGGGTGCTTCCCTGCGCAGGAGAGCGGCGGGGGCTACGCCCTTCGCCCAAATTCGGTTCGATATCGCCCGTATCACGTTTCTCACTGTTCTTTGCGTGTATGGGATAGACCTTGACAGTCAGCAAGATCAGGTTGTTGAGCCATTATCAGGTGCCTCCCTGGTCAATAATGGAATGTCTGAAAGGCCCCCATGAGGGTCGTCGGATTTCTCCCGTGCCGCTGGCGCAGCTGCTCAGAGAGGCAGCCCAAGCCAGGCACAGGCCGCCCCGCCCTCGAGGACAGGTGGCCCGAACTCATCATCCAACTGCGTGCTGGTCCTCCTCCTCTTCCTCCTGCTCCTGTTCCTCCTCATCCACATCCTCCACCTCCTCATCCGTGTTCCTCCTCCTCCCCATCATCCTCCTTATCATCCTCATCCTCCTTATCATCCTCATCCTCATCATCAGCATCAGCATCAGCATCAGCATCAGCATCAGCATCAGCATCAGCATCATCATCATCATCATCATCATCATCATCATCATCATCATCATCATCATCATCATCATCATCATCATCATCATCATCATCATCATCATCATCATCATCATCATCATCATCATCATCATCATCATCATCATCATCGTCATCATCATCATTATCATTAAAATCAGCAGCAGCAGCATCATCAGCATCATCATCATCAGCATCATCGTCGTCATCATAAAAAATCAACAGCAGCATCAGCATCAGCATCATCAGCATCATCATCATCATCATCATCATCATCATCATCAACATCATCATCATCATAATCAGCATCATCATCATCATCATCATCATCATCATCATCGTCATCATAAAAATCAGTAGCAGCATCATCATCAGCATCAGCATCATCATCATCATCAGCATCATCGTCGTCATCATCATCATCATAAAAATTAGCAGCAGCATCATCAGCATCAGCATCATCGTCATCATCATAGGCAGCAGCATCAGCATGAACATCAGCATCAGCATCATCAGCATCAGCATCCTCAGCATCATCACCAACAGCAGCATCATCAGCAGCATCAGCAGCATCAGCGTCAGCACCAGCATCATCATAATCATCATCATCATCATCATCATCATCATCATCATCATCGCAATCATCAGCATCATCTTCAGCATCATCATCAGCATAATCCTCAGCCTCACCCTCACCCTCGTCCTCATCCTCATACTCATCATCAGGCATCAGCATCATCAGCATCATCACCAGGAGCTTATAACTAGTGTTTTGATAGTTCGTGTGTTCAGTGTTATGCGTATTCTCCTTATTAGCACTAGTAAGCATATTGTGTGAGTCGCATGTGTTCTGCGTATTAGTGTTCCTCATATTCGTCTTATTTGTAGTATCCCTCATCATCAGTTGCAGCATCATCATCATCAGCATCATCATCACCATCATCATCAGCAGCATCATCATCAGCATCATCAGCGTCATCATCATTCTCATCAGCAGCAGCAGCATCATCCTCCTCCTGTTTCTTTTCCTTCTCGCTTCCTGCTCTTCCCCACAGCATCCTCCTCATCCTCCCCTTCCTCCGCGAGGCAGAGTAGGGTGGACGCAGCCTCCCGCCTCCACAGGGACACGAAACTCTCCACCCGCTCCTCGTACTTTCCTGGGTGAGCCGGGCGGGACCAGCCGACAGACGGGAAGGACAGAACAGGCATACATTCCACAAGCGTAAACTTCCAGAACTCCGCGCGGATCTCCGAAAGCCAGGTTGCGGCGCTTCTGTCAACTCGAAGAAGAGAAGGGGGGCAGCTTGCAGTGACGTCGGAGGGGCCGCGAAGCGTTCTTGCGCCAGGTGAGCTGGCCATGGGCACGGTCGCGGCAGCACGTGCGCGCGCACGAAGGGTGCGCGCGGAGCGTGCGCGCGCAAACCCCCGGCCGCCCATTCGGAGGCACCGTGGGCCCCTCTCTCCTTGGTGAGACTTGCCAGAGGCGTCGTGGGTGTTCGGCGCGGGCTCGCGCGCATACGGGGTAACGCCCTCTCCCTGCCCACCCGGGGTGGCACTTGATGGGGGGCAGCGGAAACGCGTACGCGCCGAAACGCGCGTACAGGAATGAAAGCCCCGCGAGCGGGCCACGCAGCGCGGGGGAAATACGATTGGATGAATCTGCAATGCCTTGTCGTTCGGGGGCGGCCAAGAGGGGGGCGTCCAAGAGGAGGGGGGGCGCATATCATGGCCGGCAGCATGTGCGCGGCCCAAAGAGGGGGGGCCAGGGACGTAATGAAATAAGAAGAGGCGCCATGAAATCTGGGGAGATATCATGGCCTCTCCCGTGACATCCACCCATCCCTAGTCCTCACCCCCCTCGTGGCCGCCCCCGACACACGTCCTCCAAAAGCTCTGGGCTGGGAGGACCCACGGGCTGTGGATCCTCCCAAGCTCCAGGCTGGCGCCACCCCTGCGGCGTCCCCCTGGTCCTCGGTAGAGGGCCGCCAAGTCGGGCAGGCACCTGGGGGGCCGAGGCCGGGAAGCGGCAACAGCAGCGGCAGCACGCGTCGGGCGGGGCGGGAGGGGCCACGTCGGGCAGAAGCAGTGAGCAAGACGGGCAAGGAGGGAGGAGGAGGAGGAGGAGGAGGAGGAGGAGGAGGAGGAGAAGGAGGAGGAAAAGGAGGGAGGAGGGAGGAGGGAGGAGGGTAGAGGAGGAGGAGGAGGAGGGAGGAGAAGGGAGGAGGAGGAGGAACGGAGGAGCGGGAGACAGGAGAGGGAGAGGAGGGATCGGGGAGAAGATGGCTCGTTGCTCGTCCTCTCGTTGCCGGGCACGGGAGGTCGACACGCACTCACAAGGAAATCGTGGGCGGGCAACGCGGTGGTTGAGAGAATCGGTTCCGAAGCTGTTTCTCTTACTGAAACACAAACAGCCATTGTTCACAAAAACCGATGGCGTTTTCACGGTGGCTGCGAGGAGGACGAAAGAGGTAGAGGCCGGCAGGACCGCCAGCAGGGCTTCGAGGCTTAACCTGGCAAGGTCCGCTTTGCACAGGCGTGCAAGGCGCAACTCTGCCAGACCCCTCGGGCATCTTTGGCGGCTTTGTCGCCGCACAAAAACCTTTTGCAGTGCAGGCATCTGATCCAGGGCTGCATCCTCTCTTCGGCTGGCTTGCAGCAAAAGACGAAGCCCTCGAAGCGAGCCATCAGAAGCTGACATCATGTTTGGCACTGCCCCCCAACATACCATCTACTGAGGCATCGGGCTGGCTCTGCCCAACAAGAAACGGAGCTCACACAAAAGAGAAGTGAAAAGTGTAAGACGGGGAACAGGGAGTGTCAAAGGTGGTCTCTGCGTACATACACGTAAACATATTCCTATATATATATATATATATATATAGATATATATATATATAAAAGGCCGGGGACCCCGGAAAAGCGGCACACGGTGCCCACCCCCCCCCAAAAAAAAAAAAATCGGCCTCCTGGGGCGCCCCTGCAGAGTGTTCCGCGTTTGTCCTGCGAGTGCGACGCGAAAAAAAAAACAACACGACGGCCAAAGAGGGCCCCGAGACACCCAAAGATCGGCCCAAGACGCCCAATCTGGGCCCAAGACTGCCCAAGACGCGCCCAAGACGCCCCCAGAGACCCGAAAGAGCGTGTTCTACCGCTGCTGGCGGAAAACCGGGGGGGTTCACTACCGGTTCGAACCCCTCCCCCCCCCCCCCCTCCGGAAAACCGGGGGGGGTCACTACCGGTTCGAACCCCTCCCCCCCCCCCAGTTCATCATGAAAAGGGGGGGGGTCACTACTGGTTCGAACCCCCCCCACCGGGGGGGTCACTACCGGTTCGAACCCCCCCCCCCTCGAAAACCGAGTGGGGGTGCGGACAGTGGTGGGGACGGTGTTGGTGGGGACAGTGGTGAGGGGATAGCGGGACAGTGGTGGGGACAGTGGGACAGTGGGACAGTGGTGGGGACGGTAGTGGTGGGGACAGTGGTGGGGACAATGGTGGGAACAGGGGGGCACAGTGGACAGTGGTGGTGACGGTGGTGGTGGGGACAGTGGTGTGGGGACAATGGGAATGAGGTGGAAACAGTGGGACAGTGGAGGGTACAATGGTGGTGGGGACAGTGGTGAAGGCGGTGGCGAGGACGGCGGTGGGACAATGGGACAGAGGTACAGTGGGGACAGTGGTGGGGACAGTGGGGACATGGTGGGAACAGTGGGACAGCTCAGTGGGACAGCGGAGGAGTCAGTGGGACAGCGGGGACAGTGGGGATAGTCGGGCAGTGGTTGGGGCCGTGGAGACAGTGGGGAGAGTGGAACCGTGGTGGGAACAGTTCTGGGGACAGCGGGGACAGTGCGACAGTGGTGGGGGCACTGGTGGGGACAGTAGGGCGGTGGTGGAACCAGTGGGGACAGTGGTGGTGAGGACAGTGGCGCTGGGAACACCAGTGGGGGATGTGATGCGGACGGTGGTGGGGACCGGGAGTCGTTTGCTGGCGGTGAGTGGGGGGGGGGGGGGGTTCGAACCGGTAGTGACCCCCCCCCCCCCCCGGTTTCCGAGCGGGAATGGTGGGGGGGGGGGTTCGAACCGGTAGTGACCCCCGTCGGTTTTCAGGATCCGGAGGGGGGGGGGGGGGGTGGGGGGGGGGGGGGGGGGGGGGGGGGAGGGGTTCCAGCAGGGGGGGGGGGGGGGCGGACCCCCGGGCTCCGGAGGAAAAGGTTGGCAGTTTTCCACAGCGAAGCGGCGGTGGATCACGCTCTCTCAGAGACCCCAAGAGGCCTCCCAAGAGAACCCCGAGAGGCTACAATTGCTGATTTTCCTGTGTTTTTCTATGTTGTTGGCCTTTTCGCTTTCCCCGCTTCCCGACGCTCCACAATGGCCCAAGAGGCTCCCTAGATCGCCCCAATACTGCCCACGAGACCCCCAAGAAGGCCCCGACACGGTCCAGGAGGGCTCCGAGACCGCCCAAGAGGCGCCCAAGACGGCCCAAGAGAGCACCAAGACGGCCCCAAGAGAGACCCAAGAGGGCGCCCCAAAATTCAAAAACTAAATTTTCCTCCGCGAGAGGGCCCCAAGGGGCCCGGAGAGAGCTCCATGAAGCCCCAAGAGGCCCCCAAGAGGCCCCAAGGAGCCCCCAAGAGGCCCCCTAGAAGCCCCAAGAAGATCCCCGGAACCTCAAAACGCCCCCAAGAGGCTTCAAAACTGCCTCCTAGAGGGCCCCGAGAGGCGCACCACGAGATCCCAACACAGCGGTCTCCCCCTCTCATTATCCCTTTTTTTTTTGTCGTCGCCTTCTTCGTCGTCGTCGTTGTCGTCTCACATGGCGCAGCGAGGCCATTTTTCGTTCAAACCACCGAAGGACCCAAGAGCTCCTCCTCCTCTTCCTCATTCTCTTCCTCTTCTACCTCCTCCTCCTCCTCCTTCTCCTAATTCCCCGTGATGTTTCACGTTCCGCCCCGCCAAAGGTTTAGCAGAAGCAGCTTTCCTCGCTCTCCCAAGTCTCTCCTGCGGATTTCTTCCGCGACACCTCGGCTGCACCCCAGATATCCACATAATCTGTCCTCTTCATCCTCTTCCTCCTCTTCATCCTCCTCCTCTTCCTCCTCCTCCTCCTCATCCTCTTCATGTTCCTCCTCCCGCCTCGACTGAGCTTCTCGCAACACTCAATACAAACCGTCGGGGCCACGACACCATCTCATCCGGACGCGCAATTGGGAACCAGGGTTTTTGTGACATTTCGGAGATCAGGCCGTCGGGAACCTTCGGTTTCAGCACACATCCTGGGGAAACACTCTCTGGGGACCCACGGCCGCACGAACACTTGCAACGTCGGCCACTTTCGCGCGCGACTTCTCGCAACTCTAAGTTCAAGGATGCCCTGAGCAGAGGTGTTCAGACCACTCCTCGCTTGAAACTTCCTCGCACGGCTGACTTCGGAAATGCCCTCCCCTGAGCGGAGGTATTCAGGCCATTTTCACCCAGGACGTCCTCGCAACACTGACCTCGGCGACGCACTGTCCCATGGTAGTCTGGCCACGTTTGCCTGAGACCCTCGCGCCTTTTAGTGGCGCGCTGATATGAGCAACTGGTCAGGCAACTACCGCCTGATATACGCATGTGTATGCGCACACATAGTTACACTGACCATTTGCATATACATGTACATATCCATCCAAACGTATACAAATATGTACATATGCACTATGCATTTAGCATGTGTGTGCGCATGTACGCACGCTCGCACTCCGCTAGCGTGCGAATTTCAAAAGACCAAGGTGCATGGCGCGAAGCGCCAATGCAGTCTTGTATATATATATATACACACACACTCTCACAAAACAGAACAACAAAAAACGCCGTCCCCTCCAGGTCTCCATGCGTGCGATAAGCCCCCCGCCAGACCCCAAGCTGCGCGTTCGAGGGGGGGCAACCCCGCACGACCACTGGCCGACGGTTTCCCAAACGTCCCGTGGAAGCAAGATAGCCTGAGGTTCCAGAACATGTTCAATAGCGCCAACAAGAGAAACGTCATACGCCGCACAACAAGTTTCTCAGCACGACTGCGCCCTGGAACCCCGCCCGAACTGCCCGCACCCTCCCCCCCGGCGCCGCCCCCTGCGACGACAACGAAGAGAGGCCCCCAGAGGCCTCTGCAGGCCTCTGGAGGTCTCCATGGACGCCCCCGGAGGCGGCACCAGCACGGGCCTCGGGAGGCCCCAGGAGGGCCCGAGAGGAATCGAAGCAAACGCCAGACGCCCACGCACCTCTCTGACATACGGGTTTTTCTTGCATGGTTCTCTCGTGAAGGTGTTACCCGTCGGTCAGGAAAATAGGTAGAAACAGAAAGTAGGAAGGCGTTGAAAATAGATTGGGTTCCGCACGCCCCCTGAAGCGGACGGAAAATGTGAAGCCACTCGATCATTGAAGTAGGAAGGCGCTTGAAGCAGATTGGAATATGGGAATCAAGAAATACGCACTTTCAACTACCGATGGGCACTGTAGATGAAAACAGACGGCTAGGAGCAAGGAGCTGCACTCACACGGCTGCCGGTCAAGGGAGCACCACGGCACTCTGCTGGGCCTGGCAGCTCATCGCCGTCAAGCCACAGGAAGTCATCGCCGGCGGCGCACGCTGGTGGCCGCAGAGCGGCGACGACGGGCGGCGGCGAGCAGTTGAACGGAGCGGGGCGAACCTCCGCGGGCAGAGCACCAGGACGTCGCCGCGCACCAACGGGCCCCGGCCGTTCACCAGCTCAG